AATTTGATTGGCTGTTTATAGTAGATCCAATCTGATTGGTGTGACATACATACATCTTTCACTCACTCACTCACTCACCCACTCACCCACTCACTCACTCACCCACTCACCCACTCACCCACTCACCCACTCACCCACTCACCCACTCACCCACCCACTCACTCACTCACTCACTCACTCACTCACTCATCTATTGACCCGTCCATAACATACCCGATGTGCCGACTAAGAGATTTTTTTTTTGCAAAAAATTAATAAAATAACTCAATCCTCAATGAGCAAACTCGCAAATATGATTGATAAGAGCTAGCCTTTTAGGTAATAGGAGCTAATATGGAATTACTCTTTTCATGAAAAAAGCAACACATGTTTTAAGGTGGAAAAAATGACAAGCAACCACCAAAGCTTGTTGATTGAAAATAATGATTCTGACCGTAAACTTTCACAAAGATCTTTTCTCCGGACTTAATGCCCACACAGCAGAAAGGTTCTTTAAAAACTGTTTACCAACGCAATGATACGAACGTGACAGATATAAGTCAGCTTTTTCGTGAGATAATTGAGCTTTTCGCAGTATCTACGTCACCGTTGCGTAATGTGTGCCCGAACGATAGAGATTAAGACTTTTCCCGACCAACGAATGAACTGGAAAATTTTAACACTGAGTTATTTGAACTGACAGTTTTAAGCTACCATTAACACTTTCTCTAATCAACAATTCAACCAGTAGTTTTAACCATTTAATTCGAGTTATCTGAACTAAGAGTTCCATTTTTAGCACAACAATCGCAGTTACTAACAAGTTGTCTTAAATATGTTAAACGATATATGCTTCTGCAAAACAGCGAAATTGCGCTAAAGAAGGAACAATCTCACACTAATTGAGGTCTTAGCTGAAGCAGGTGAAATGTTAAAAGGCAGCAAAATGAAATAATACGAAGACGAAGCTAATGCCATGATAATTTAAAAGCTCCACGAGAACAGTTCAGCGAACTAAACTGTTATACAAAGAGGTCGTATAAGACCACAGCAGACCACAGTATGGCCAACACAGCACCATCATTGGATGGAGATACTCTAGGTTCTCGTTGGCAAAATGTACGTGAATTTAGTTTCCTTCTTTCTGTAATCGGAGCTGTGTTTACCACAATTCTGCCTATTCTATCCATTGGAGGAAGTAGCCTGTTACTCATCGTTATCACCAAATATTCACAGCTTCGCCGTGTTCCTTCCAATCTCCTACTGGCATCTCTTGCTGTCGCTGACTTACTGATTGGTCTCTTAGTCCAACCGTTGCATGGCGTCGCCTGTGTGTGTACCCTAATCGGAAAAAAATGCTCCTCTATCAGTCTTTCAAACGTTCACTTCTATGTTGGTTCCCTCTTAACATACTCATCTTGCTTGAACATTGCTGTCATCACAATAGACAGATATATTTGCATCGTAGAATCACTTCGCTATCACGCCATCATGACCAAAGCCAGAGCAATCCAGGCCATTATTATCAGCTGGGCTATAAGTGCCGTATTGCCCGCAACGCGGCTTATTCCATCCTACCCGTTGACTCTGATCAAAGTTTCTCAGATCATCTTGATGTCGGCAGTTTTGTCTGTCATTATTTTTTGTTATATCAAAATATCCAGCATATCTTGGCGTCACAAGAAAAATATTTGCTGCCAGATGCAAGTTGTGACCAGAGGACCCGTGAGACAAGATTTTAAAAGCGTAAATACAGTGTTTTTAGTAGTTGGTGCTGTCATTTTAAGCTATGTACCATTATTAGCGGTTCAAGTTTGTTTAACTTTTAACGTTATGAAGTATCAAGCGAAAATTCTACATCCATTTGCTGTAACCTTTTACCTCCTAAACTCGAGTCTTAATCCATTGATAATCTTTTTCAGGTCTAGAAAAATTCACAGGTATTTGAGCAGACTTCTCAAACGAGACGCTGAAACTTAATTTTTGCATTGAACCTGCCAAAGAAAGCAAGAGAAAAATAGGGACATTAATGCAAATACATTTGTTTTCTAATTAAGGGTCGAGAACATTGTTATTTTAAGTATGTATATCGGTTGAGAAGTCGGTACAGCTCCATCTTAACACTTAAATATCATACAGATAAATTCTTTATATATATATATTATTCACAAAGCAAGATGGTTGGTAAGAAACTAACCTTGAACCTCGCTCAATCTAAACATATTCCAGCTGGAACGATTGTAACTGTAGGGAATTTCACTACTGCCAAATTTACAGCACCGTATTACAGTTGCATGGAAAAT